GCCTGCAAAATAGGTAGCATTGCCAGCCCCCTGGAGAGGTAAATGGTGTAATCAAAAAAAGCATATGGCACAATGTCTGCCAACCAGGCAATCAGTAAATGATGAGCAGAACCACACAGGCACCACACTCTTCTTGTCCAATAAAGGCAGTTACAGAGAGCTCCCCATTATTCCCAGAGTCACATAAAATACCCAGAGCGCCTGACCTTGCTCTCACGCCTGCTGGTTCTGCCTGACTCCTGCACGTTGACTCAGTTTCCACTTTTAGCTCAATTCCTGCAGGTTGGGCCATTGATCCTGGTTGTCCAGGTAACATCCAGGGTCTGTCCCACTTGTTCAACATCCACCACTCCCACACAGGAAGGTAGGGGCAAGATCTGAATAGTGGAAATAAGACTTAACAGCAAGCGGTTCACTGGGGAAAAGTGTGAAGGTTAGAGTTAACCGTAAGATCCACATGGTCAGCAGCTAGCCTGGGAGGAGGGATGGAGTGTGAACTGATTCTCAAACTCAGAGGGACCCACAGTGGACGTGTGTGCAATTTTTGGCATCAGAAAGGTTTAGCTGTGAATATTTACTATTCACTATTTTTAAAGTATTTACTATACTCAAGACACTGGCCTGTGAAACTTACAAACATAATTTAGTATAATCCTTTAATAGTTGTAAAAGAATGGCATAGACAAAGCTTCATAAACCAGGAAATAACTTACTTTAGGTCACACAGCTAGCAGGCGTCGAAACTGGAATTTGACACAGGATTTTACAGCTTATATTTTCTTAACAACTGTGCAACCATGATATCACCCAAAAGTTAGGCTTTTCCTTTACATATATGTACATGCACTCTCTCTCTGTATCTTTCTCCCCTCCCACCCCGTTTCTCTCTCATATTATTTTTTTTTGGTGTCGTATTTTGTGCGTTTTTTTAAAAAATTATATTTAGTAGCATCAGACCTTGCTAAATCTCTTAGAATTTTTGTCAATAGCATTACGAGTTTCTAAAAATGAAATGAAATAATGTTAAAATAAAATAAAATAAAATAATGCAATACATTGTGTTCTGAAGTTTTAACTATGCAAAAATACTCTCCAAATTCAGTAAGGTCTTGTTTGATGGACTGTCAAAACACATTTAGGGAACTATAAAAGTGACATATTTGAAATGGAATATCATCAAACTAGAGCTTATTTGTTGAAAGTGAGCTACAAACCTTGTGTCTCA